CTTAATTAAATGCCATTTAACGTTAGTTTAACGCCATTTAACGTTAGTTTAACGTCATTTAACCTTAATTAAACGCCATTTAACTTTAGTTTAACGCCATTTAACGTTAGTTTAACGCCATTTATCGTTAGTTTAACTTCATTTAACGTAAATTTAACGCCATTTAACGTTAGTTTAACGCCATTTAACGTTAGTTTAACGCCATTTAACGTTAGTTTAACTCCATTTAACGTTAGTTTAACGCCATTTAACGTTACTTTAACGCCATTTAACGTTAGTTTAACGCCATTTAACGTTAGTTTAATGCCATTTAACGATAGTTTAACGCCATTTAACGATAGTTTAACGCCATTTAACGTTAGTTTAACGCCATTTAACGTTAGTTCAACGTCATTTAACGTTAGTTTAACTCCATTTACCGTTAGTTTAACGCCATTTAACGTTACTTTAACGTTATTTAACCTTAATTATACGCCATTTAACGTTAGTTTAACGCCATTTAACATTAGTTTAACGCCATTTAAAGTTAGTTTAACGTTTTAACGTTAGTTTAACTCCATTTACCGTTAGTTTAACGCATTTTTAACGTTATTTAACCTTAATTTAACGTTTAACGTTTTAACATTTAACGTTATTTAAACCTTTTCCAAACCGCCATTTAACGTTAGTTTAACGCCATTTAACGTTTTAACATTTAATTTAACGTCATTTAACCTTAATTACACGCCATTTAACATTAGTTTAACGCCATTTTTAACATTTAGTTTTTAACGTCATTTAACCTTAATTAAACGCCATTTAACGTTAGTTTAACGCCATTTAACATTAGTTTAACGATATTTAACGTTAGTTTAACGCCATTTAACGTTAGTTTAACGCCATTTAACGTTAGTTTAACGCCATTTAACGTTAGTTTAACGCCATTTAACGTTAGTTTAACGCCATTTAACGTTAGTTTAACGGCATTTAACGTTAGTTTAACTTCATTTAACGTTAGTTTAACGCCATTTAACATTAGTTTAACGCTATTTAACGTTAGTTTACCGCCATTTAACGTTAGTTTAACGCCATTTAACGTTAGTTTAATGCCATTTAACGATAGTTTAACGCCATTTAACGATAGTTTAACGCCATTTAACGTTAGTTTAACGCCATTTAGCGTTAGTTTAACGTCATTTAACGTTAGTTTAACTCCATTTACCGTTAGTTTAGTTTAACGCCATTTAACGTTAGTTTAACGTTATTTAACCTTAATTAAACGCCATTTAACGTTAGTTTAACGCCATTTAACATTAGTTTAACGATATTTAACCTTAATTAAAACTAACGTTAGTTTTAGTTTAACGCCATTTAATAGCGTTACGTTACTTTAACGCCATTTAGCGTTAGTTAAACGCCATTTAACGTTAATTTAACGCATTTAAACGTTAGTTTAACGCCATTTAACGTTAGTTTAACGCCATTTAACGTTAGTTTAACGCCATTTAACGTTAGTTTAACGCCATTTAACGTTAGTTTAACGCCATTTAACCTTAATTAAACGCCATTTAACGTTAGTTTAACGCCATTTAACGTTAGTTTAACGCCATTTAACATTAGTTTAACGTTAACGCCATTTAACGTTAGTTTAACGCCATTTAACGTTAGTTTAACGCCATTTAACGTTAGTTTAACGCCATTTAACGTTAGTTTAACTCCATTTAACGTTAGTTTAACGCCATTTAACGTTAATTTAACGCCATTTAACGTTAGTTTAACGGCATTTAACGTTAGTTTAACGTTATTTAACCTTAATTAAACGCCATTTAACGTTACTTTAACGCCATTTAACGTTAGTTTAACGCCATTTAACGTTAGTTTAACGCCATTTAACGTTAGTTTACCGCCATTTAACGTTAGTTAACGCCATTTAACGTGGGATGAAAGGCATCAGGCTGTCCCGGCTTTGGTATTGATACAACAATACTGCTGGTCCATGATGTGGGTACTGACCTGCAGCATGACTCATGTTGTTCAATGGATTGCTTGGAACACGCTTTAGTAGTCTAGCGATGTTGTAGGTGACTCTGTCCTCTCCAGGGGCAGTAGACCTACCCTTGGCGAGGTCGGCGTCAAGCTCCCACTCAGTATATGGAACATCACACTCATCGTGCTGTTTGCTCAGCATAAAGTTAATGAGATTATTTCTCTCTGCAGACTTCGCATCAAGGAGTCCTCTAGTCCTAGTTGATAACATGTCATAGCTAGAGACATCAGCCCACGTTGTTATTAGCTCATTCGATTTTTGCAGCGGGTTTGAATGGGAGACGTGTCTACTGTTTCTACCACTATGTATTACACTCTGATTCACAATGAGACGAAGTTAATTCACCCCTTGTATACTGTGTGGCCAGAACAGTCAGCGGTGGCCGGGAAGTGTAACTCTCTCACGGTGCGGGGCAAGTTGACCTCTTTAGTCCCATACGTAAGAGGAAAGACCGAGGATGACTGTGAGGGGTGGCAGCAGGGAACAGGCTTGCTCATAACTACGACCATATCTGTTGCTATTGTTCACTTTGTATCTGTATTTTACGGCTAAATACTGTCTCAGTAATAGTAGTTGACATTAGATCAATTTGACCGAGGATTGCCGACAAAGTCATGAGATGCTTACTTCCAATAGGGTCCCTTATATCAACAGCATCCGGTGTTCCCAGGCGGTCACCCACCCAAGTACTAAGACCCAACAATGCTTAACTTCGCTGGTTGGATGAGAAGCAGTGTTTCCAACGTGATATGTGAACGTTAGAACTGTTCAGACTAACAGCGTGTGAGGTGGGTGCCTCAGCGGGTGTGTTTATACTCGTATGTGGGCTATGACAAAGCCACTACGGTATAGGCAGGCACACTACAGCACACTCACCACTACCCAGGCACGTTCTCTTGCCACACTAATAATAAATATGTAATTGTGTTCACGTTGGCTGAGGTCACTAGAAGGCTCTTCTAGTGACTATGGCAAGAAGGTCACCAACACACTGAGATTCCTTTTCCTCCAAACTCAGTATGTGTCACCTTAATAATAAATAATCACGGAGGAAATAAACACACACGGTCCTACCCGCACACTCGCTAAGTGGAAAACTACCCAGAAGAACAAGCGCCTGAAAAGTTAGATTCTTGTCGGTGAACTAATGAGTTCTCTCGTGTGTTTATTCAAGAGCATCTTCAGTACAGGAAAGTTTCCGTTCAACAAGTTTCTCTGAATGATGATAATACGACGAACCTCAAGGTGTGCAGCAGAGAGTATCCAATCATTATGAGCCGGAGAGCCGCATGACAACTACGAGTATTTATTGGGACGTAATGGCAGGTTGGTGGTGGAGCTCTTGAGGCACGGAGCACAACAAGCTCTCTACCGTGCTGCACAACGCTTCTCCGCCGTAAAGAGCCTATATACGCAGCACGTGGTCAGATCTGTGGTGTCATAGTACTACGCTTCAACATCTAAGGTCCTTAACCCTTTAAGTAGTAGTGTTGCACTTATATATTTTATTCTACCTAATGCAAGACGACTTTATTCAAGTGTGAGAGCCCTCCCCGTCCTCCCACCACTCAATGGGTTAAAACCTATCTCGATTAAGAGCGTATTCTAGGTTAGTGTGTCCTTAACAATGAAACTGAAAACACACACACACGCACACACACACACACACACACACACAGCCAAGCAGACACAATAGCAAACTTGTGAGACTCAGAAAACCGTCCCTCACTGACCAGTCCGGACCTGTACCAAGTGACGGTGACCTCGTCTGGTCTCTGGGGAAACATTCTCACGATGTTCTGGTGGATACAGGGCGATGTGTGGGGGAGGTTGGGGACTGGTGGGGTGATGGGGGGAAGGAAAGGAGGGAGCAGTGATTGGGGAGATGGGGAGGAAGGAAGGTTTAAGACAGTGGTGGAATGATGGGGAGGAAGGGAAAGAGAAGGCAGTGTTTGGGAGATGGGGAGGAAGGCAAGGCTAAGACAGTAGTGGGGTGATGGGGAGGAGGAGGGTTAGGGCAGTAGTGGGGTGATGGGGAGGAGGGAGGGTTGGGGCAGTAGTAGGGGTGATGGGGGAGGAGGGAGGTTAGGGCAGTAGTGGGGTGATGGGGAGGGCAGTAGTGGGGTGATGGGGAGTTAGGGCAGTAGGGGTGATGGGAGGAAGGCAAGGCTAAGACAGTAGGGGGTGATGGGGAGGAGGGAGGGTTAGGGCAGTAGGGGGGTGATGGGGAGGAAGGCAAGGCTAAGACAGTAGTGGGGTGATGGGGAGGAGGAGGGTTAGGGGGTGATGGGGAGGAAGGCAAGTAAGAAAGTGGGGTGATGGGGAGGAGGGAGGTTAGGGCAGTTAGTGGGGTGATGGGGAGGAGGGCAAGGCTAAGACAGTAGTGGGGTGATGGGGAGGAAGGGAGGGTTAGGGCAGTAGTGGGGGTGATGGGGGAGGGGAGGGTTAGGGCAGTAGTGGGGTGATGGGGAAGACAAGGGACAGTAGTGGGGTGATGGGGAGGAAGGAGGGTTAGGGCAGTAGTGGGGAGATGGGGAGGAAGGCTAAGACAGTAGTGGGGTGATGGGGGAGGAGGGTTAGGGCAGGATGGGGAGGAAGGGAGGTTAGGAGTAGTGGGGTGATGGGGAGGAGGGAGGGTTAGGGCAGTAGTGGGGTGATGGGGAGGAAGGGAGGGTTAGGGCAGTAGTGGGGTGATGGGGAGGAGGGGAGGGTTAGGGCAGTAGTGGGATGATGGGGAGGCAAGGCTAAGACAGTAGTGGGGTGATGGGGAGGAAGGGAGGGTTAGGGGCAGTGGGGTGATGGGGAGGAGGGAGGAGGGCAGGGTGGTGATGGGGAGGAAGGCAAGGCTAAGACAGTAGTGGGGTGATGGGGAGGAAGGGAGGGTTAGGGCAGTAGTGGGGTGGGTGATGGGGCGGCCCAATAATGGCGTGGCTCGGGGCGCTGATCCCTCTGTCATATTGGCGGCGCCGGAGCCTCATAACCCGCCCGTGATGGATGCCCTCCCAGTCTCCTGAGTCGCGGTGATTAAGCCCGCACCGGGGAGCCGCCGTGCTGGGGGCCACCGTGCTGGGGGCCACCATACTGGGGCCACCATACTGGGTGCCACCGTACTGGGGGCCACCATACTGGGGGCCACCGTGCTGGGGGCTACCGTGCTGGGGGCCACCATACTGAGGGCCACCATACTGAGGGACACCATACTGGGGAGCACCATGCTGGAGGTCACCATATTGGGGAGCACCATGCTGGAGGTCACCATACTGGGGAGCACCATGCTGGAGGTCACCATACTGGGGAGGACCATGCTGGAGGTCACCATACTGGGGAGGACCATGCTGGAGGTCACCATACTGGGGAGGACCATGCTGGAGGTCACCATACTGGGGAGCACCATGCTGGGGGGTCACTATACTGGGGTTCAGAATTCTTGAGTGTAGATATTGTTGGCCAGGATACCGGGGTTGCAGGATACTTGAATCAGGATACTGGGGTCCAGCAGACTGGGGTTCAAGATACTGGGGTTCAGGAGGATGACTGGGGTGGGGGGGGGGAGGTGGCTAGGATGAAGATAGATGAGGGAAGAGGGGAAGGAGGGGGGGGGACGTATCACTCTCTCTCGTCTCTGAGGAATATTTGTAGTCTCCCAAATATCTCAGACTTTATCTCCAACCTCTCATATATCTGAGAAATAGATCTCCTCCCATCTGTGAGAGAGATTCCTGTCTGTGAGGAATATGTCTCATCTCATTATGTCTTAAGAAATATCTTCCTATCTCCCACAAGAGTCTCCCACACCTCCAAGTCGTGTCTCACAGTCTCCTACACCCACGTCATGGAGACAAGAATCGCCGCGTCACAAATATGAAAAAGAGGACTACATATTCGCCCGCTTCCCGCCTCCATCAAGCTGGAGGCCATTACCTGAATAACTAATAAACCCACAATCCACACCTTTCATATTCATCATCCTCAGCAAACAATTTTCATCCCAGAGATTGTTATGATGCCTTTATGAGCGGCGCCAAACGAGCAATTTATGCAGCGCCTCTGGCAACCCGGACCGAGGGGAGGCGCTGATTGGTTACTAATAGCCGCGGGGCATTATGGGGGATTTTGGTGATGGAGCCACAGAAAACGGGGCGCTTCAGGGGGTCCCCAACCAGACTCAGGGGGGCGCCCAGCCAAGGGGATTTGAGGGAAGTTGTGCCTCATGGAAAGCTCTATCATTTACCTCCCAGAATCACCCACAAATATATTTCCAAGGAGCGCCAGACGACGCTCTCCCACCAGACAAATTCTGCCCCAACCTGGTTTTAGGTGTTTTTGTTTTGTTTCTGTAAATGTGTGTAGTAACGATGTGTGTAAATATAGGTAGAAAGAAAGACAGATAAATAATAGTCTTACACAAAACCTAAATACAGGCAGGTTAATGTATAAAGGCAAGAAGAGGAAGAAAACTTGATAAAGAGACACAGAAGAGAGAGAGAAATAATACATATACAAATAATAAAAGTGTTATATTGAAAGATAAACAACTATAAATGTTTAGAACTAAATCCATTGTTATCCACGCTAGTTAACCCTTTGGCTGACTGACTGACTGAGAGGATTCATTACTCACGCCCCTGGCCAGCTCACATCACGGGGACCTCACTGTGTTCCCACTTCCCCAACACCAGTCACTCAAGATGAGGAGGACCCTGATTTACCCTGACACTCAGAATAGCAACTCAACTATTGGCCATTGAGGTGTTACTTGCTACTCACTCAGATCAGTGGCCATTCAGAACACACCGTCCCTCTGCCACTCAGGTATTAACAGAGGCGTAACTAAGAGTATAACCGCTTACACACACACACACACACACACATGGATCACCGAGCAAATCAGACTAAGCACAATAAATAAATTCTATTTCATTCGTAATTGGGACTTTCTATAATGACTTGGTTAACATTAGAATGAGAATGAAATCGGAAAAGAGAAAATAGGGAGGCGCCGTTAGGTCACCCAGGACGCTAGTGGAGGAAGAAAATTGGGATGAAATATGACAAGGGAGGCGAAATTGGGCGGCGGGCCTCAGTGTTGCCTTATTGCGGGAAATTGGGGGTAATGGCCGTAATAGGATGTTTGTTTTTGGCCTGGTAATGGAGGGACCCTTACCCCTCCCTCCTCTCCCACCCTCCCATCCCACCCACCTTCTCCCCCTCCCTCCCATCCCACCCTCCTCCTCTCCCTCCCCTCCTCTCCCTTCCCTCCCTCCCCTCACCCTCCTTTTCCTCTTAACTTCCCTCCCTCCCTCTATCCTTTCACCCCTCTTGCCCACCCTCCTTCTCTCCCTCCCTTCCCACCTTCCCTCTTTTTCTCTTACCTCTTACCCTCCCCCTTTCCCTTTGCGCTGGCCATCACCCTCTAACTTATTATTTCTAATCTTTGTTTTTATTAAAGTTCTCTCCCATAACACGCGAGCAACAAGAATATAGAGAAGGTGGAAAGGAAGAAAACTGGATTAGGTAAGACGAGTGGGGGGGGGCCACTTCATCCCGTGGTGAGTGAGTGTGGGGGGAGAGTTGCACCCGTCAAGGCTTCCTCAGTGGAACAAGTGTACATACCTGTTAACATCAGGTAGGTGGTCCCAGCTACCCAACAGCATTATTCGATAAAGGTTCTGTTCAATAAGGAGTGAATAACTATTTCTGTGTATTGTACTTACCAAAGATGAGTTTATTGAAGGTCTCGTGAGGGAATGACCACCACAGTTCGTATGTTTGAACACAGTCAGCGCCATCCTGCTCAGATTTTGTAACTGTCAAGGTGTATGGATCAATGAGAACTGTCCCAGTGTCCCATCATCAGACTGTAAGGGCTAAAAGGCAAAGACCTATTGGTAGAAGACGAGGTCGCTCTTAGAATGACCTTTTGTCATCCACTACACCCTAACTATGACAACACACCACCACAGGGACGTTGTCACAGGTGTCAAAAGTCATGTCAAATGTTATCGGAATGTGTATTAGAACGTCATCTGTTGTATAGAGTGTCAGTCCTCACCTTACCTGAACTGTCCACCACGAGAGAAAGATATTAACCTCAAAACTCTCTATGTTAATGTTAATAGACAGATCATTCTCTATAAATTAGCAATAATATATTTTAAAGTGGATCCGAGAATAACAAACTAACAGGACAACATCTGTTGGCACACCGCAGGGAGGAGTTCTGAGTCCCGTCCTGTTTCATACCTTGATTAAAGTCTTCCTTCAGCCTGTGTTAACGAGCAGAACCATGTGGCCTTCATTCATACCCAGCGGTTGGGTTAGGTTAGGTTCGATTAGGTTAGGCCGTTAGGGCAATCCCTCTGTTTTGGTTTTCTCTATTCTGACCTTTTTGTCCAGTGTTAATACATGTGGAAACGAGAGCACCCTCCCCCTGCTAACAACACTCACCCTCCCCCTGCTACCATCACTCACCCTCCCCCTGCTACCAACACTCACCCTCCCCTGCTACCAACACTACCTCACCTCATACCAACACCACCTCCCCTGTTACTAATATCACCTCCCCTGTTACTAACACTCACCTCCCCCAAGCAATAACACTACCTCCTCCCCTTGCCATTAACACTCACCCTCCCCTGCTACTAACACTACCTCCTCCTGCTAACACTACCCTCCCTCAAGCACAACAGGGGCTGGGGTGGGGTGGGCGGGTTGGGGGAAAGCGGTGGGGTGGGAAGGGGGTGGGGGTAGGGGGTGGCGGGCTGGGGAGGGTTGGGTGGGGAAGGGCAGAAGGGTGGGGTGTCCATATCGAAGGTTCTTTTCCACCTTGTCCTTGTCTGACCAGCGCATGTTACTTCATGACCCTCGTGAATGCTGCTCACTGAGGGGAGATGAGGGGTGAGGGGGTAGATGAAGTAGTGACGTGAATGAGAGAAGGAGGTAGAGGGGGAAGGAAGGAGGAGGAAAGGAGCAGAGGTATAAAGGAGAGGGAGGAGAATGGAGAGATGGGAGGGGGTGGTAGGTAAATATTGTTAGGGAGAATAAGGATGAAAGGGAAGATGGGGAGGGGAGGGTGAGAAGGGAGAGGAAGAGAGAGGGGAGAGGAGAGGATGAGAGACAGAGAGGAAAATAGAGGGAAGGGAGGATTGTGGATGAGAGAGAGGGGAGGTCAGTGTATATTGGGTGAGTTTACGGTCTGGACTGTTGTGGCTGGCTGCCTCTTGGCTTTAATCTCTCTCTCTCTTGCGTGTTTAGGTTGTGTTTTTCTCTGCTTATATTAACACCCATATTGTTCAGTAACTCTTGACTCTTAAAACAAGTTCTATATTTTGACTCTTCTTGTTGTATTGTACTCAGGCTGGAAGGGTCCCGTTAGTGTGGTCAGTAACATACCTCGAGAAGAGATTCATTCATTACACCTCCCCATTCCTCTGCCAGTGTGAGGGTGATGCCAGTCCATAGCACAGTCAGGTTTAGAACAGCAGAATGTGTAATATTTTCCACCGTGTTTCTGAGGACGCTGCCACAACACCATTATAATGTTGTCCTGTAATACGCCGTCAGGTCAGGTGTACACAGCAGCACCTCTATTACTACTGTATGTTTGAGAATAAAACCATTAAACAGTACATGTAAATCCTTGGACAATGTTCTGTAATGTTCTACTGTAATCCTACTTGTGTATGCAGGCACTATACTGTATACCACGTGTGCTATGTAAGGCTAGAGGACCCCGTGGGAGTGATTAATACGTGTGACTTAAACAAAATATTTTATTAACCTCCACTCAGATGTCACTCTCCTCACGTCAGACTCCTTACGTCCCTCACGTGGGTCAGGAAACCGAAGCTAAACATCGCTGCGCCTCTTGTTCACAGTCATAGATCATCACACACAGGTTTGGTTACCCTTATTGATCACGGTGCCCCTGGTCACGTGGTCCCCATTAGAGTCTGAGCCGTTCCCATTGTCTCTAACCCCTCCCTCATTCCCCCCCCGCCAAACACCAACACACGGTGGTCTGTCACGCCCCGCCCCCTCCGCCTACACTCTGCGATGATTGGCTGGTGATGCGAGGAAACTCCGCCCATTATGGTCATATGTTTTCCCCTACGTCAAAGGTCACGCAGATCCTTAGTCGTCTTGTGGGACGGGTGGAGACAGCCAGCATCACACGTCATGGAGGCTCAAGACGCTGCACAGGACAGGCCTAAACTCAGCTTTAGTATCGATAGTATTTTGAAGCACGAGTCGTCTGGCCACCGAGCGTCCACTTCACCCACGGTAGAGGATGATCATCTTCAGGAGCAGCCCAAGATCAGACCAGTGCCTCTCCAGCTGTTAACGGAGGCTACCACAGTGTCTCGCACCGCCACGTCGCCCTTGTCGTCGCTCCTAGCTCTCACACCCGAGTCCTCCCCGGAACGACCCACATCCACAGCCAGCGCATCAAGTGAGTGTTCCACTAGTAGCCAGAACTCCCAGCAGTCCACCTTGTGCTCTGAGACCCCACTTGTGTCCCGTCAGGCTGCTAGGATATTCCCGGGGCAGTGGTCTAGTCTTCGATCCCATCCGTACCTCCCGCGACTCCCTCTCACCACGGCAGAGGGGACGCCTGTACTCCCCCGCTCCATCACCCTCAGACGCCACAAGCCCAACAGGAAGCCCCGGACTCCCTTCACTTCAGAGCAGCTACTGACGCTGGAGAAGAAGTTCCGGGAGAAACATTACCTGAGTATCGCCGAGCGGGCCGAGTTCTCCGCCTCCCTCAACCTGACGGAGACGCAGGTCAAGATCTGGTTCCAGAACCGTCGAGCTAAAGACAAGAGACTGAAGGAATCTGAGATGGAACGTCTTACGAGGCCTCTGTACCCCAGCTACGGCGGGTTCCTGTCCTTTGCAGGCCAGCTGCCCTCCTTGCACCTGCGGCAGCCTCTGGTACCTCTTCTGGGATAACCAGCGCCTGTAGAAGACCTCACAGACACCTGCAACTTCCTTATCTAGTCACCTGAACCCCACTGTACAGTATATTGTTTTTGTGATCGTGTGTGTTAATGATTCTCTCGTTGCTTGTTCTCCCCTTCATGTTATATATGTTAAGTTAATAAAATATTTTGTCAGTAATATGTGTTTACATCCCCTTTACCTGTCTCTTAATGTTACACTACATCTATGGCATTAATGACTGGAAGATGTAATAAAAGGAAAAGTAAACATTTTGGTGCAACACTGAAGACTACATATCTCTCTCTCTCTCTCTCTCTCTCTCTCTCTCTCTCTCTCTCTCTCTCTCTCTCTTATAGATATCATTTCTGCCCCATCTATCCCCCATGTACGTTAGGCTTTGAGAACCTTACTGTACACACATCAATTAATCAGATATAAAAACAAATGAGCATCACTGTATTGAATGAAACAGACGATGTATAAATGAACCTCGCTCATGTAACAAGAATGTCTCTCAAGGTTCCTAATCACACAACTAACTCAACAAGAGACACCTAACCTAACCTAACCTAACCTAACCTAGCCTAACCTAGCCTAACCTAACCTAACCTAATCACACAACTAACTCAACAAGAGACACCTAACCTAACGTAACCTAACCTAACCTAACGTACTGTCCAGAACTTGTCATGTTTGGTGATAACGAAGCCACAGTCTGTATGCCCGAGACCTGTTAATTGGGTAGTAAGTCTTAATAGGCCTCTACCTAACTTAATGTAAACCTAAGCATTGTGGCCCAAGTCCTAATGGGCCCAAGTCCTAATGGGCCCAACTTCTAATGGGCCCAACTTCTAATGGGCCCCAGTTATAATATATCTGCAATCTTAATGGGCCCAAGTGTTAATGGGCCCCTATCTTAACGGACCCCAGTACTAGTGAGTGGTTTTTATTTAGTTGATCTGCCAACATATCTCCTCTAGTGTGATAGATTGATTGATGAATAGATAGATAGATAGATAGATAGATAGATATCATCATCATCATCATCATCATCATCATCACTATCACCACAATCCCCACCACCACCACCTCACCATCACGACCATTACTAACAAGAGAGTATGATGGCTGGTGGTAGTGATGACGACCCACCCCACCACCTCCCTCCCCACGTCGTCCCCTTCCTTAATCTCATCCCATCCCTCAACCCCTTTCCTTACCTCGCCAGGTACCCTCCCCTTCCTCCCTTCCTCTGTGCCCTTTCCTTCCCATTCATTTACATCCTCCTCATCCCTCTGTGTCCCCCCCTTCCTCCCCATCTTCTCCTCCTCCCTCCCCCCCTGCAACCGTACTAGCCCCTGGGACATTGGGACATCCCAGGGGGGTGACCTCCTCACCGTCATCATTAGCAGCTTCACCTGTCACCATCCTGCCCGGTCCATCACTCTGGTCCACCACCCCACTGGTCCACCCCACCACCCATGCCCATCACCCTGGCCTACCACCCTGGTCCACCTCACTGGTCCACCACCCAGGTCCACCACCCATGCCCATCACCCTGGCCTACCACCCTGGTCCACCTCACTGGTCCACCACCCTGGTCCACCACCCTGGTCCACCACCCTGGTCCAACACCCTGGTCCACCACCCTGGTCCACCACTCTGGTTCACCATCATCACAGTTTCATTCATTAATCACACCTGCTAACAGGAGACAGGGGGACGCACCTCACCTCCGCCACTACACTACAGTATGGTTGATATGGCCTCGATATAACTGACTATACAGCTCAAATTACTACCAGTCCTAATAGGCCCCAGTCGAAATGGGCCCCAGTCCTAATAGGCCCCAGTTGAAATGGGCCCCAGTCCTAATAGGCCCCAGTCCTAATAGTAGTCCCAGAACTACTAGACCACAACCGCAATAGATCATAGTTCTATTAGATCCCAGTCCTAACCTAAACCTAACCTAAACCTAACCTAAACCTAACCTAAACCTAACCTAACCTAACCAACTCCGGAGTGGGGGGAGGGGGAGGAGTACTCAGTGGCTGTTTCGTTTGTATATTTGGGTTGTTCTTGTACCTGTGGCCGGACGGTATCTTAGACGATGACAAGAATAGAGTTATGGTGGAGTGGGGGAGTGAGGGGGTGGAGTGGGGGAGTGAGGGGGTGGAGTGAGAGGTTGGAGGGTGGAGTGAGAGGTTGGAGGTGGGTGAGGTTGGAGGTGGAGTGGGGGTGGTGGATGGTGAGAGGGTGGAGTGGGGGTGGAGGAAGGTTGGAGGTGGAGGGGGGTGGAAGTGAAGGCTGTGAAGTGAGGTGAAGAGTTGAGTTAATACATCGTAAGGTTTAAGGCGAACTCAAGGGTTTAAGGCTGGTTTAAGTCCTCGTACTCAAGGGTTTAAGGAGGTTTGTCATCGTACTGGGGTACTCAAGGGTTAAGTCATCGTACTCAAGGGTTTAAGTCATCGTACTCAAGGGTTTAAGTCATCGTACTCAAGGGTTTAAGTCATCGTACTCAAGGGTTTAAGTCATCGTACTCAAGGGTTTAAGTCATCGTACTCAAGGGTTTAAGTCATCGTACTCAAGGGTTTAAGTCCTCGTACTCAAGGGTTTAAATCAACATACTATACAGGAAAGTCCAAATATATTAATTTATATATAAGAAAAGTTTGTTTACATCTAGTAGGGCACAAAGATATATGATTACCACTCATCCAGTCACTCATCCATCTCAACACCTCGTCACTCATCCATCTCAACACCCAATCACTCATCCATCTCAACACCCAGTCACTCATCCATCTCAACACCCAGTCACTCATCCATCTCAACACCCAGTCACTCATCCATCTCAACACCCAGTCACTCATCCATCTCAACACCCAGTCAATCATCCATCTCAACACCCAATCACTCATCCATATCATCATCATCATCATCATCATCGTCATCGTCATTATTATTATTATAGTAGTAATATTTTCATTTACTTACACTTTTCATCTAACTTCTTTTATCATTTCTTTTCCGTTTCGTTAAGAGCGTCAAAGCGGTGTAAGCAAAGGAAAGATGTCTACCTTGATAACGTGTGACTGGAGACAGCAGTATACACCTCTGTCTATTGTCCCCACCAGTCCCCCTTGATGCAGCTGTCACCGGTGCAATCTACGTGGAAATAATGGACCTTTTTTTTCTCATCCATTGTCTCTTCTGTAAAAAATGTCGCAGGTGTGGGCCGATACGTAGTGATGTGTTTATTAGGGACAGGTGTGTGGAGGAGAGGTTCGTTTATGAGTTAGTATTGATGGTTCTTTATTATTTGGTGGACAGGTGTGTGGAGGAGAGGTTCGTTTATGAGTCAGTATTGATGGTTCTTTATTATTTGGTGGACAGGTGTGTGGAGGAGAGGTTCGTTTATGAGTCAGTATTGATGGTTCTTTATTATTTGGTGGACAGGTGTGTGGAGGAGAGGTTCGTTTATGAGTCAGTATTGATGGTTCTTTATTATTTGGTGGACAGGTGTGTGGAGGAGAGGTTCGTTTATGAGTTAGTATTGATGGTTCTTTATTATTCGGTGAAGTTCTGTTCATACGTGGAGAGTTAGTGGGTAAGGTGAACAGGTGTTAGGGGAGGAGGGGTTCTAGCATTACAGGTGTTCGTGGTATCAGAGCGGTTCTAGAAAACAGATGTCAATGGTAGCGCAAGGTAGTGAAAAAGTTCTATTACAAGCATGTTACTGGTGATAGCGAGGTGGTTAGTGGTAATGGAGGGGTGCGGTGGACGAGTGGATACAGTGCTCGACTCTTCTCATAAGGGTCGCTGGTTCAATGGCTAGGGTCTCCTCGTCCACCCAGTTGTAAATTACCAGCGAGTGTTATGTCAAGTGCAGTGTCGTCCATATTGTCTTCTTGTGAGGCTTATTGGACCAACTTTCACTTTCGGTTACATAATACAGGTGTTTACAGGTGTTAATGAGAATGAAAGGGTTATATGAGAGAGGTGTTAGTGGTGGTAACTCAATATGGCGGTTGCAGTGAGAAAAATGTTTATCTCTCTAACCTGACACTTGCCACGTTAATGCTGGTATTATTTCTCACGACTTTTTTATCAGAGCATTTTTTTTCATTGACTCTCTCTTAAATACGACTCAATATGCGTGAAACTATTTTATATTTTATCAAGTTAAAAAATAATTTATCCTCTTATCTCTCTCTATCATTTACTACAATAACAAAATGTGATAATATAAAATGGATGAGATGAAGAGAATGAATGAAAGGAGAAGAAATGGTGAGAGGAGGGAGGGAGGGAGAGGTGATGAGAGTGAGGGTGGAGAGGAGGAAGGAAGGAAGGAAGGAAGGAAGGAAGGAAGTAAGGAAGGAACATGTGTGAGGGATTGAGGACCTACACTCCCTCCTCCCCTCCCCACTCCCATCTCCTCCCCCACCCTCTCCACACCCCTCTCACACCCTCCCACACTCCTCTCCCACACTCCTACACTCATCCACCCTCCCACACTCCCCTATCACACTCCCCCCTCACACTCCCCTCCCACACTCCATCCTTCCCTTCAACACTCCCACACTCCATTCCCACATTCCATCCACCCTTCCCACACTCCCCTCCCATCCCACACTCCCCTCCCATCCCACACTCCCCTCCCACACTCCTTCACTATAACTGGTCGGTAATTCTCCAGATAAGAGGCTGAAGTGAATCTCATCTCTTTCGTCTCCTTAAAATTAATTGTTCCTTTATATTCTGTTTTAGGTACATGATGCTGTTAAGTGATTCCTATAATATATATTTTTTTTTGTTGATTTGTATGATAATAATGAGAGGTTAATAGCCTTTTGTTATCGCATTGAGTATGATGATTTAGCCCCTTGAGTACGATGATTTAGCCACTGAGTATGATGACAACCCTTGAGTATAATGCATTAACCCTTGAGTACGATGATTTAGCCCTTGATTATGTTGATTTAACCCCTTGAGTATGAGGATTTAGCCCTAAGTATGATGATTTAACCATTGAGTATGATGATTTAGCCCTGGGTATGATGATTTAACTCTAGTACGGTGTATTAACCCTTTTAGTATAATTATTTAACCCTTGAGTACGATGA